GGAGGGCCCCAGCGGGAAGCCGGCATCCAGGGGAAGGAAGGCCCCAACTGACCCTGACCACTGGCCAGGCCTAGAGACCATTCCCGTGCATGAATTTTGTGCACTGGGACTCTAGTAAGTTATAGTTCTACTAGAGGCCCAGTGCACGGATTCAGGCAGCAGTGGGTCCCTCGGCCTGGCCTGCAGGGATCAGGCTGGAACTAGCTCCCACAGGGGTAGCACCACTCAGCTAGAAGCCTGACTCACGGCTGGCAAGCACAGCGGCTGTGGCGGGACCCTCTCCCACCTCCACGGTAACGCTAAGGATGTGCACCTGACGACTTCGCAAGGAGTGAGCCTAAGGACTTAGTCGGACATCCCCCGAAGGCTCCTGGACTGTGAGAGGGCACAGGCTGAGCTGAGGGACCCCACCCTCAAGGGAACCCCCCCTGAGTGCATGAATTTTGTGCACTGGGACTCTAGTAAGTTATAGTTCTACTAGAGGCCCAGTGCACGGATTCAGGCAGCAGTGGGTCCCTCGGCCTGGCCTGCAGGGATCAGGCTGGAACTAGCAGTCCAATATTCCCCAAGGAATCCCAGATTTCAAGAGGGCACAGGCCAGGCAGAGGGACCCCACTGATGCACCAATCCATGCATAAAAGATCTTTGGTTACTCTCTTCCTGCCCTCCCCTCTCCCCTCTCCTCCCTTCCCCCCTTTCCTCTGAGATTCATCAGTCTGTTCCATGTTTCCATGCCTGTGGTTTCTGCTCCTCTGTTGAGTGTCTGCCCCCAGGTGGTCAGTGCACATCATAGCTACCGGCCGGTCAGCTGGTAGCTTAGGCTTTTATATATATAGATACACTAATAAGTTAATTAAGAAAACAATTGCATTTACAAGACCATCAAAAATTAACTCAAATAAGAGCATTAGCTATAAAAAGGAATGAAGTACTGGTACATGCTACAAAATGAATGACCTTCAAAAGAGTATGCTAAGTGAAATAAGCCAGACACAAAAGGTCACCTATCTTATTATTTAATTTATATGAAATGTTCAAATTAGCTAAATCCCTAGAGACAAAAAAGCAGATTAGAGATTGTCAGAGGATGGGGGAAGGTAGAATGGGGATTGACTGCTTAATGGGTAGTGGTTTCCGTCAGGAATAACGAAAAGTTTTGGAACTAGAAAGAGGTGATACTTGCATAATATTATAAATGTACTAAATACTATTGAATTGTACAAATTTATTGATTTTATGTAAATTTTACCTCAATAAAAATAATATATGTAACACTTAAGGTATTATCATCATCATCTTCACTACCACCATTACTATGGAAAATGTTTCCCAAATTTCACTTCCTTTGAAATGTTTAGATTATGAGAGAAAATAAGTAGACTAAAATTTAATACTACAGTTAGTATAATTTGTATAATATGTTCTTGTCTTCTCTCTGTTATCTTTCAGATTATGTCTGGCCACTCCCCAGACCTTTGTGCCCCGTCTGGATCTCCCTAGATGTTTTATTTTCGACAGCGTCCATCATGCACCTCTGCGCTATATCGCTGGATCGGTATGTAGCAATACGTAATCCTATTGAGCATAGCCGTTTCAATTCGCGGACTAAGGCCATCATGAAGATTGCTATCGTTTGGGCAATTTCTATAGGTAAATGACTTTCCTGGCCATTAGAATTGCAAGGGCTATGCTCAATACCTTCGGATTATGTACTGTGAACAACGACAGACGTCGACCGGTAACATTGCGTATAATCGGGATTGTTGTTTAATTATTCTTAACCTATTTATCTGATATTTAGGTTAACAATAATAGAATAAATGTAATGTGTATGAATATTAAATTAAATTTTTCCATTTATTCTGCTAAATTATTTTATGCATTAATATGCCAATGATTCTACAACACAGAGTCAAAATTTTGAGATGTTTAAAGCGATTTAAAGATGACAAAGATATGTGACAAATCTAAATTTTAAAAATATAGCATTTAAATGTTATAAAATATAAATTTATCCCAAAATATTAATCTTAATATTTTAATTCTATTTTCACATCTTCTTCAGTGGAAATATTAATAGTGCATAAGAATCTTCATGAAGTAAACATGAATTAATTTATGCTGTTGATCAACCTAAAATATATTTCTCCTCCATTTTCAAATATCTTCTTGGAATTTTATTACACAGAAAGAGAAAAAATTCTTTTTTTTTTAAGATTTGGGGAAGGTTGAAGAAGAGAAATTATCATTTTATTGCTTGTAATTTGTGATATTCATGAATGCCTTAAGAATGCTAGTGTTCAAGACACAGAATTTAACCAATTGGAATATAAGGGCTTTTACAATCTTCTTGTTTTCTTTTTTTTCTCTTTCTGTTGGAAATTACATTTAGTGTCTCATTAAATAATTTTTTAAAGTTATGTTCCTGTAACAGATTTTGGTAATGTTTACAAGAAAGATTTTGACTCTGGGTTTATCCATAAAATAAATTTATTTAACATTTAAGATTATTCCATTCTAGGTGAACACACACACACACACACACACACACACACACACATACTTTTGGACCAAAAAAACGTAGAACTTACTTATACCACAAAAATGTGAATCTATATATATAGTTTGATCTACATATTCAAGGTTTCACAGATTTTACCTCCCTTACCCTAAAGAACTCAGCTAAAAAGATGCCATTTCTTGTCTTAACTGGTTTGGCTCAATGGATAGAAAGTTGGCCTGCAGACTCAAGGGTCCCATGTTCGATTCCAGTCAAGGGCATGTACCTTGGTCGAGGGCACATACCCAGTAGGGAGTGTGCAGGAGGCAGCTGATCAATGTTTCTCTCTCATAAATGTTTCTAACTCTCTAGCCCTCTCCCTTCCTCTCTGTAAAAAATCAATAAAATATATTAAAAATTTAATGAAATAAAAAAATAAAATAAAAAGATGCTATTTCTTATGATGCTTACAAATTAGAATATTAGGTAACTAACTGCTTTTCTCTTGCTCCTTTTAAGATTCTTTCTTTGTCCTTAACCTTTTGCATTTTAATTATGATGTATCTTGGTGTGGGCTTCTTTGGGTTCATCTTGTTTTGAGCTTTCTGTGCTTCCTAGACTTGTATGTCTATTTCTTTCACCATGTTAGGGAAATTCTCTGTCATTATTTTTTCAAATAGGTTTTCAATTTCTTGCTCTATCTTTTTCTTCTGTGGCACTCCCATGATGTGAATGTTGCTATGCTAGATGTTGTCCCAGTGACTCCTTATTTAGTTACCTAGAAAGGAGTTCCTATAAGACTGTTAGCTGATTTTTCAGCAGAAACTTTGCAGGCCAGAAGGGATTGGCAAGAAATATTCAAAGTGATGAAAAGCAAGGCCCTACAACCAAATTACTCTACCTATCAAAGCTATCACTTAGAATCAAAGGACAGATAAAGAGCTTCTCAGACAAGAAAAAGTAAAGGAGTTCATCACCACCAAACCAGTATCATATGAAATGTTAAAGGGTCTTTTTTTAAAAAGAAAGGAAGAAAAAAATATATCAAAAATATGAACAATAAAAATGCAATAAATATATATCTATAAATAATTTTATCTAGAAAAATAAGCAAGCAGAACAGAAAGATACATAGATACAGAGAACATTTTGACGATTGCCAGATGAGAGGTGTTTGGGGGGATAAGTGAAAAAGGTGAATGGATTAAGAAGTATAAATTGGTAATTACAGAATAGTCATGGGGATGTAAAGAGAAGCATAGGGAATATAGTCAATGATATTTTAATAACTATGTATGGTGTCAGATGAGTGCAAGATTTATAGGATGATCACTCAGTAAGTTATGTAATGTCTACTCACTGAGGTGTACACCTGAAACTAATATAATTATGTATGTCAATTGCAATTGAAAAAATAAAAACTGATTTAAAATTTTTACAAAAGTAAAAATAAATTTTAAAAAACATGTTGTACCACCTACAAAACATTAGAATATTAGGGGCATTAGCTTCTAATAATGACTATGCTAAAAACAACTAAAATATGGGAAAAATACTATAAGCATGTGAAGCTAATAAGAGTGTGGGATCTAGAAAAAGACAGAAAAATGATTATAACTTTTGGGTCATTTTTCCAGTGATGCATTTGTGAATCTGAAGCTGTGACTGACGGGTTAGGAAGCTTGTTTCACAATCTCATGAACAGAGGAAATTTTAATAAGAATATAGAGCCTGGCAAGGGCCAACCAACTTGATCTTATTTTTTATATCACAAATGTCTATACACTAGAAATAAGGATGGTCCAGGATTAAACCACCCTTGTCATAATATTTAGACCTGATTCAAGTCACCTATATAACCAAGAAAAATATTAATCTGGAAATTGGATTACAGTGATTTCATGTTCTTCTTGTTTCCAAATTTTTTGTATAGGTGAAAAAAAAATCATCTTAGGCTTCAAAGTATTTATTTCAATAATTTTTCAATTCCAATAACTGGAATAAATAATAAGTAGACAGATGAAGAAACAAGACCACATGAACCAGATATACCACACTTAAAGATAATAAAAATGAACCCAGAGACATTCAAGATATTTTAATTACCTGAAATAGACTTTAAACAACTATTTATAATATGCACACAAACATTGATAGCTGAAATTAAACATTTCAGAAAAAAAATGCGCTCTAAAAAAGAGTGACATTTAAAATCTGAAAAACAACTAGAAAATCTGGAAATAAAGAATAACATGAAAACCAAAAAACTCAAAGGCAAATTAGATATATCTAAAGAAAGCATTACTGGAGGTTGGTTAGAAGAAACTGTGATGAATGACGAAAAAATAGAAGAACATAAAAGAGAGAAGTGAGAATAAGAAGATAATAAATATCCTATATATTTAAAGCCTAATATGCTAAGTGTCCAGTTGTCCAGTCCTCCATTCAACCAATCAAAGCATAATATGCTAATGATATGCTAAGGCTGCTCAACCGTTCGCTATGATGTGCACTGACCACCAGGGAACAGACAGTTGACTGGTTGACCAGTTGCTATCATGTCCACTGGCCACCAAGGGGCAGATGCTACAACCAGTAGGTTAGCTTGCTGCTGGGGTCTGGCCAACCAGGACTGAGTGAGATGGGCCAGACATGCCCTGGAGCCTCCCCATGCACCCTCCCTAGCTGGTCAACCTCCTGTGTCCCTCCCCAGCCCTGATTGTGCACTGATAGGGTCCCTTGGCCTAGCCTGCACCCACTCGCAATCTAGGCTGAGGAACCATCCCCACAAGTACACAAATTTTGTGCCCCAGGCCTCTAGTATAATATAAAATGAGAAGAGTTCCACAAGGCAAGAAAAGAATGGCAGAAAAACAATTTGAATAATGGCTTTTAGAATTGGTGAAAGACACTGATTCTCACACTTAAAGAGCTCAACACGTCTCAAGCAGAATAAATAAAAAGCAATCGACATTTAGACTCATCACAATGACATTGCAGGAGAAAAAAAATAGTATTAAACTTAAAGAAAAAAAATATAAAGAAAGATCAACTTCAACAGAGCAACAATAAGATGGGAGAATGGCTTCTCAACAATAATCAAAGCTAGAAGAGGTTGAAATTATAGTGTTAATGTGTTGGTTAAAAAAAGTGAATGCTGTTAGAATCATATACTCAGCAAATTTATACCTCAATAATTGAAGTGAAATAAAGACATTATCGGACAAGCAAAAACTAAGGGAACATGACAAAAACAGACTCACTTAAGGAAACACTAACAGGTCTTCATAAAACAAAGGAAATGCCACAGATGGAAAGGTTGGAGAAGCAATTAAAAGCAATTAAAATGGTAAGTGTGTGGTTAAATATAAATAAATATTGACTTTATCAAACAACAATAACAATGTCTTCTGCAGCTCAGAATGTTTATAGAACTAAAATGCACAAAACAATCTATAATAATAAAAGTGTAATATGCTAATTAAACCAAACAGCTGAATGACCTTCCAGATGTTATTCCAACATCCTTCCTGACAGCAGGGGCCGAGGCAGAGGTGGTTAGGGGCTATTAGGCAGTCAGGCAGAGGGATTAAGGGTGATCAGGCAGGCAGGCAGAGGGGTTAGGGGCAATCAGGCAGGCAGGCGGAGTGGTTAGGGGTTATCAGGCAGGCAGAGTGGTTAAGGGTGATGAGGCGGTTAGGAGCCAGCAGTCCTGGATTGTGAGAGGGATATCCAACTGCTGTTTTAGGCCTGATCCTGCAATTGGACATCCCCCATGGGGTCCCAGATTGTGAGAGGGTGCAGGCTGAGTTGAGGGACCCCCCCCCCACATGAATTTTGTGCACCGGGCCTCTAGTACCATATAAGTAAAGAGGGTTGAAAGTAAATTTTTTCATTGTCCAGGAGAAAGATAAAAATGATATTTGATATTAAGCTTTGATGAATATACTACATAACTTTTTGTACATTCATTGTACAAATAGAAAAGGAATGTTTAACTTCCAAATTTATTGAGAAATATCCTATATAATAAAAGGGTAATATACAAATTGACCCTAACGGCAGAATGACTGGTCACTATGATGTGCACTGACTACCATGGGGAAGATGCTCAATGTAGGAGCTGCCCTTGGTTGTCAGTATATTCCCACCCCCTAGTGATCAGTGTGCTCCCGCAGGGGAGCTCTGCTTAGCCACAAGCCAGGCTGAAGGCTGCGA